TTACTTCTATTTATTGATTGTTGATTATTGCTTGATTATGATTGAAAATCTTAGGTATTTAAACCAAGTACTTGAGGGTGTGAATGGGGGTGTGTAGGGATAAGCAATACAAACACTCACACCCACCTCTCAAAATGCCTGAGTCTTCTTAAAGCACATTCGCCATACTTTCTTCGGATGCATCTAACGAAGTTTGAGTGATAAATAGAGTTTTTCATACATCGAACGATAAAATAAAAAATATAAAATTTTTCATTTATTTATTTTGAAGCTTTCAACACTACTTCTATAACTATCAATTTCAAAAAAAATTTTACGATAGATAATATTTATATATATTAGAATAAAGTTCAAAGCCTAATGACTCATCATACCTCACATTTACGCATATGCAAATATCAGTGTATATTTTATCATTGCAACAACACGAAACGCCAAGGTACGGTAAAAAAAAGAAGAGGTAGAATATATGAAAAACGAAACGCATGTGATGACGAGCACATGGATGAAAAAGTCATGCTTCATTGATTCATGTAAATATACGTTTGTGAGAAAAAAAACAAGTAATTTTGTCAATAAAAAATACAGAATAAAATCGATTGCAAGCACACAAAACAAAATTTGCTATACTCCAACATTACATAGCACGTAAGTGTATTTAGTTCCTAACATTATTAGACTAGTAAGAAAATTAAAGTGAAAAGTAAAGAGTAGCTACACACAAAAAAAATGACGGTACATAAACATGTGTTATTTTTATGTTTATAAAGTAGTTTTACGAGAACTTCGCTTGATAATACTCAGAACATGCAATCGATTGTCTTGGTTGCAGTATCTTGTATGTATAAAACAATCTGATTGTAAAACATATTAAACAGAGTAACTGTTTCTATGCATAAATTTCAACGTGAGTACCAGCAATGAAAGGCACAATTTTTACTTTTAGAAATACTCTTTCTGGTCTACCGACTAATCTGGACTGATTAGATAGAGAAACGGGTTAGACATGTCGAAGTTTGAGGACATTCTGGACTAATTCAGACGTAGCTGCAGGAGTTTTCATGTCAGGATAACTAGTTAGGACAGGTACTTTCGACATTTCGGACTAGTCATGTCGTCCATCCTCAGCGACTATTTGTTTCCTTAGTCATTCTTCTTTATTTATGGTTCGATGTATAGAGACTTGATCCATCCGTTATCGTCATTTTGTCAGTAACACTCTTGAAACAAAAATGACCTAGATAGTAGAGGTCCTTGAAATGTGTAGCCACAAGTCAGAAAAGGAATCATGTTAACGAACAAAAATTTTAACAATTATAAATATAGGGGACTACGTTTCACTGATTATATTCATTCGTTCAATTACAATGAGCAAACGAAAATCGACAACAACTGTTATCAGTGGTGCAGCAGCGATGCCTAGCACCACCACTATTACCAACGCGAACAATCGTGCTGCTGTTGTGTTGTCTCGACCTATGCATCGGGTTCTTCAAAATTTCCGGCTTCTATGGCTTGATGCCAAATTGGATGAATCCAATGACGATTTCAAGAAATCGTTTCGACGTCTGCGACGTGTTGTAGCAAGCATCGAAACATTTACCGATGCTCAAGAATGCATTGATTTTCTCAGTGCCATTAAAAATGAAAAGGTATTTATGATCATATCTGGTTCACTGGGACGGCAAATAATAGCAGATATTGAAGCATGGCCACAACTGGAGTCAGTCTATGTATTCTGTCGCAACCAAGCGGTCCATGAACAATGGGCCAATAAAGTACCAAAGATTAAAGGTGTATACACAAAAATCAACCCAATATGTAAGGCGTTGCAAATTGATCGCGAAAATTGTGATCGAGCAATGATCTCGATCAGCTTTAATGGTCGTGATGCATTATTTATGTATACACAACTTTTAAAAGAAGCTCTTTTGGAAATAGAAGATGACGATGTTAAATCAATTAATGATCTCGTAGAGTACTGTCGTCTACAAGATGATGTTGATGAAGGTCAAATTAAGAAGGTCGAAAATGAATATCGTGATCATACACCAATATGGTGGTATACGGCTGAAACATTTATATATCCAATGCTGAATCGGGGTCTCCGACAAATGGATGTTGACATCATCCTTAAAATGGGCTTTTTCATCCGACATCTACATCAGCATATTACTGAACTACATCGCGAACAAAAAGGCAGCATGCCAGCAAATTTTCAAGTCTTTCGTGGACAAGGTTTGTCCATTGAAGACTTTGAAAAAATGAAAAAAACCAAAGGAGGACTTATGTCCTTCAATAATTTTCTGTCAACAAGTCGTAATCGTCAGATATCTTTCAACAACTTTGCACGACCAGCAGCATTAAATACAAATTCAGTTGGCATCCTTTTCATTATGAACATTGACACGGCTATTTGCACAAATTCATCAACACCATTTGCTGAAGTAAGCAAAGTTGGCTACTACAAAGATAAAGAGGAAGAAATACTATTTTCAACACATGCGATTTTTCGTATCGATCGCATTGAACGAATTCACGATTATCACTGTGATCAGCTATACGAAGTTAATCTCACTATTGTGGGTAATGACAATCATGAATTGAACACACTTACAGCACACATACGCAAGGACCTTGGTGTGCGCACAGGATGGTCTCGACTTGGGTACATACTTATTAAAGTGGGCGAACCTGCCAAAGCAGAACAACTCTATCAAATTCTCCTCCCAAAGGCATCTTCTGATGAAGAGCGAGCGGAATACAATTATCAACTTGGCTGGGTTTCTAGACACCTAGGCCAGTACTCAAACGCACTTCCATTTTACGAAAAAGCACTTCATATCTACGAAAAAATTCGCCCTCCGAATCATCCTGACTTGGCTTCTTCCTACAACAACATCGGTGCGGTGTATTATAACATGGGCGAGTACTCGAAAGCACTTTCATCGTACGAACGATCACTTGAAATCCAGGAAATAGCTCTCCCTACGAATCATCCCGACTTGGCTTCTTCCTACAACAACATCGGTGCGGTGTATTATAACATGGGCGAGTACTCGAAAGCACTTTCATCGTACGAACGATCACTTGAAATCCGTAAAATAGCTCTCCCTCCGAATCATCCCGACTTGGCTATTTCCTACAACAACATCGGGTTGGTGTATAATAACATAGGCGAGTACTCCAAAACACTTTCATCGTATGAACGATCACTTGAAATCCAGAAAATAGCTCTCCCTCCGAATCATCCAGACTTGGCTGCTTCCTACAACAACATCGGTGCGGTGTATGATAACATGGGCGAGTACTCGAAAGGACTTTCATCGTATGAACGATCACTTGAAATCAAGAAAATAGCTCTCCCTCCCAATCATCCCGACTTGGCTGCTTCCTACAACAACATCGGTATGGTGTATGATAACATAGGCGAGTACTCAAAAGCACTTTCACATTACGAAAAGGCACTGGATATCGACCAGACGGCTCTTCCGCCAAATCATCCCAACTTGGCTTCTGACTACAACAACATCGGCAATGTGTATGCTAAAATGGGCGAGTACTCAAAAGCACTTTCATCGTACGAACGATCACTTGAAATCAAGAAAATAGCTCTCCCTCCGAATCATCCCGACTTGGCTTACACTTACAACGGTATTGGGTTGGTGTACGATACGACGAGAGAGTACTCAAAAGCACTCTCATTTCTGCAAAAAGGACTTGAGATACGACAAATATCACTTCCTCCGAATCATCCACTTATCACACAATCGCAAAGAAACATTGAAAATGTAAAAAAGAAAATGTAATTGTTTTTTTTTTCTAAACAAGAAAATAAACTGGCCATCTTGAAATATAAGCACGCCGAAGCCAGCAGCTCCAAAATTTCGCGCACGCGCGACCAGAGATACCCTCCGTATTCTGCTGGCTCTTACGGTCGACAAAGCCGGCAATGGTTAGGCAAACATACATCGATGTACGTATGAATAGTACGACCATGATCATCATTTTCGAAAAGACGATGACGAAATGGACGCTTCTATTCTTACATACATTGATCTATGCTATGAAGGGCTACCATCTGCACGCCTGCAAGGGTCACCAACAGAACGTCGGATATCCCTGAGAAGGTTCCTCTGTTTTAGAGCCACCCTCAAAACCTCCATTAGTTAGAAAATTATTTTTATTCTTCTGTTATGAAGAACCAGAAGTAGAAACGGAAGAAAGTAAAGGTATGAAAGCGGAAAGGCGCGATAAAAGATGACGTCGACGTAACGGAATGATAATACGCAGCGCATGATAACAACCGGT